GTTAGTTTTTGAAGGTGATATCTGATTTCACATCTGTTCTGCGATATGAAAACAATGGTTGCTATTTTCTGCCTTGGGGGAAAAAATGACTACTTGAGATTTCACATAAAGTACTAAATTAGATTTCAGACAGGGTCCTCTCTGCATATGATAAAGGTTCCCCATTTCCCCCCGAAAATAAGAGTGTATCTACCATATCTCCATTGAAATCCCCATGGTAGTCTTTCACTAGTAATAAGAAGGGAACTAAACATATTGAGTCTAATTGGACTGGCCAAAGTTCTACCAAAGGAAGTTTTTGAGATGCCAACTTTGGTAGTGGCGGTTGTTATTTTTTTCTCATGTAAAATATCAGGAGAAGGGGACACAAAGAATGAGATGAGATAGAAAAAGTCCCATTCTTTCTCTGCCCTCAAGATGTCCTTCTTTAAGGACGAAGGAAGTTCTTTAAGGAAATCATCTTACCACAACTACCACCAATACCAAAACAAACATTTCTGCTGGAATGGTTGCTTTTCATGGGTTCTTCTTGTAGACCAACTTTCCTTGTATTTCTGATCCTGGTTGTTCATCCTTGCCAACTTTTGCAATTGATCCTTTCTATAAATAAACCATGATGTACTCTCAATATTCCTGATTTTATTCCTGGCCACAGAAGTGGCCTATTCACATAAACCCACAGATACACAACATATTTATTTATTTATCTGTTAGATCCCCATCCCAGAAAGTCTCTAGGAACTCAAGGCTGCATACATGTCCTTCCCTCCTCCAGTTTTCCCCAACAACAATTACCTCAATATTACTTCCATACCCTGACAGTCTTCCATCTCGTCATCCAACAGAACTTTAATGTGACTATTGCTGCATAACATGGTGTAATTTCCCTTGGCCGACAGTTTTAATATTCAGCAATAGGCCTGGATTTCAACCATCCAGATGTGCTGATGCTCCAGTTCCCTTTATCTCCAATATAACCAGCTCAGGATTCCAAAATATGTATTGAGAGCTTGTCCAAATTGCTCCATTTTTAAATGGAAATATATTTAGATAGGTCTTTAAATAAATAAATATTGCATATGGATTTCTATGGTTGAAAAAAAAAAATCACTGATTGAAAAGGTACAGCAGTGACGTTTAGGGGAAAACATGACAAATTGGAATGTGGAAGAAAATAACCAAGATGGCAACATGCCATTCATGATAAGTTGGGGAGATTGAACCTGGAGAAGATATGAGTTTAAATTACTAGGGGGAAAAAATGATTGGACATCAGGAAGCATTTGTAATGGTAAGAGCTTTTCAACAATGGAGCAGTGTGTCTTGAGAGGTGAGGGACTCTTCTGATCAAGGTATTTAAAGAGAGGCTGGAGGGACATCTGTAATGAAAGCTGTAGAAATGAATTCCTGCAGCTGGCAGGGGGTTAAAGTGGATGGTCTCTACTATGATGATGAAACGTGCAACCAAATTGCCAAGCTTTGAGCTCAGACCAGCAGCCTAAATATTTTCCAACCTTTACATTCTGTGGTTCCAACTGACGTGTATAATTCTTCCTCTTCCTTACAGTGGTTTCTCTTGTTGCTAAGATTAATCCTCCCAGTCAGGAAAATTACCCCTCACAAGCCAGAAACATCAGAGAAAAATGGGGGGAAAAATTAGAGTGGGAGAGAGTTTGGTGTAGTGTAGAATTCTCTAAAATTCATGTAGTGTAGTGTAGAATTCTATAAAGAATTCTAGTGGTTAAAGCATCTGGCTAGAAACTGGAAGACTGTGAGTTCAAGTCTTGCCCTAGGCATGAAGACAGCTGGGTGACTTTAGACCAGTCACTTTCTCCCAACCCCAGGAAAAAGGCAAGGACAAACTACTTCTCAAAATGTTGCCAAGAAAACGGCAGAGACATGTCCAGGCACTTGCCAGGTATCCACAATGACTCAAAGATAACAAAGCAAATACCCCCTCACCCAATATTACCGACACTTCAAAGTTCTAGAACTAAAATACAATTTTCTAATAACAAGCCTGGGTTGTTGGGTTGATTCCATCCTGAGATGCTAACGCAGTGGTTCATTTAATATAGTGTGGTCATACTTCACAAGGCCAAAGAGATCATATAGAAAAACAATTAAAAATCCACATTGTATCCCTTGTCAAGGCAGAAAATATTGCCTCTCATCTATGTTTAATTCTCGTGTAGTTGCCATCCAGGACACCCAGATGCTTCCCAATGCTTCCACTGAGGTATTGGTCCAAGATACTTAAAACCAGTAGGCCTCCTCTCTTAGGGCTCATTTACACATTCTTCTCCTCCTGGCTTGTCAAAGATGCTTTGCTCACCATTCTTTATTATCTCAACTTTGGCAACTTGAAGTTGAGTGAACTTTAAGTTGCAAAGTTGAGAAACAGTGCTTTAAGGACGTGTCCTCAGGAGGCTACCTTCAGCTGATCCCCAGTGCATACCTGGGGCAGTGTAACTTCATTTTTAGTTAATGTCATATTGATCAGATACTTTCTGTCTCCCAATCCCAACTTGCTGAGTGCACAATTTCTAGCAGCAATGATGGTTGTGACATAGCAACTTCCCAGTTCCTATTGGCTGCTACGAACACCTCCTCCTGTCTGTTTGTTGGGGCCTACTTTCTGATGACTGAGTTGGGCAAGATCTTTATTAATATTTATTCCTCGTCCTAGTGGAACAATGCTAAACCTTTTTTAAAACTGGCATTCAGTACTCTTGTGAGAGACCATTTAGAGCAGGGGTCGCCAAACTTTTGGACCTCAGGGACCACCAAACTCATAATTTTATATCCCGCGGACCAGAGACCCTGGGAAAATCCCAAAAAAAGTCTGCGGGAAAATTCCCCACCCCATTTTCCTACCAATCGATCATTCTTTATTTGGGATTGCAAGATACCAGCTCCAGCTCTGTTCTCAGGGGGGGGGAGAGAGAAAGACTTTTAGCTTAATGCAAGGAAAGCAGCAGAAACAGCAGAAGTCTTTCTTTCTCTCCCCCAAACTCTGCCAGAAATGAGTCTTTGTGAGACTTGTCATGCCGGCGCAGTCTCTTGGAGCAGGATGCCTTGCAGGGTCCCAAAGACTCATTTCTGGTGGAGTTTGGGGGAAGAGAAAGACTTTTGCTGGTTTCCTTGCATGCAGCCAAAAGCAGAAGAAAGAAGCAGAAAGAAGCAGCCCAGTGGCCAGGTCAGGCACATGGGGCGAGTTCCCCCACTCTACCCTTTCCCCCTCCCCCCACAACCTCATGCTGTTCGCAATGCAAGCGATGCAAGCCTTGTGTTCCCACAGGCCATGAGGGTGGCACAGCCTTGTGTTCCCGTGCTGCCTGAATTAATTGCTTTGTGGGGTGCTTTGGGGGTGACATTTCTCTGCGGACCACCAAATTTTTCTCGTGGACCACCAGTGGCCCCCAGCCCAGTGGTGACCACTGACTTAGTGGCCCAATTCTAAATAGGCCACCGGGCCATGGCCTATTTAGAATTGGGCCACGCAAGTGGCTGGCCAGAGTGCACGCACACACAGCTCAACTTGCACAAGCAGAGGGCCAGTGGGCACTCACATGTGTGCATGCTGGTCTGCCACTTGTGCAAATCGAGCTGCACACATGGGTGCTGGCCCATGTACTTGTACAAGGAGTGCGTGAGTACCGGCCCGCCGCTCCCTCTCCAGCTGGACTGCCAAGCCACAAAGGTTGGAGGCGGCTGGTTTAATGAGAGAACTAGATTTCTCTTTAAAAAAAAACAAAAAACAGGAATGGCAGAGAATAGCGGCAAGACTGCTGTGCATTTTAACAAGTCAACTATTAAGATTGCTGTTCCTTGTTGTTTGCATTGTTTTCTGTAAGAGTTGCATGGGATATCTCAGCAATCTTGTTGACCTTTATGGTGACCTGTGGGTCTATATACAGGTAGTCCTTGACTTTCAACCATTCATTTAGTGACTGTTCAAAGTTACAAGGGTACTGAAAAATGGGACTTATGACTATTTTTCCCACTTATGACCATTGCATCCCCATGGTCACTCAAAATTCGGGACTTGGCAACTGGAGTGAATTTATGACAGTTGCATTGTCCTGGGGTCATGTGATCACCCTTTCTAACTTTCCCATCTGGTTTCCAATAAGCAAAGTCAATGGGAGAAGCCACATTTGTTTAATGACTGCATGATTCACTTAATGACTGCATGAGTCACTTAACAACTGTAACAAAAATGTCATAAAGTAAAACTAGAATGGAAACTATGAGAAATAATTCTAAGAGGAGGACTAGACCTAACAATGATTTACATCTGGATATTTTTTTAAAAATGCTTTATGTATAGTCTATATTTTTTTTCAGCAAGTGGAATAAGAATAATAAGGCCCCTTTCTACTGTCAGCGAAAAGGTTGCCAGAATGGCTAGAAGTAAAATTTGTGCTCTAATGCACCTGATGTCAGGATTTCGGCATTTACCCCAATTAAATCATGAGGCTCGAGCCACACTCCCAAAACCTGAAAGGATTTATTAGAAGTTAACATGCCGTCATTAGCCTGGGCCTAGTCAACTCATAAAACATTTTGTATACACCTTTTATAGTTGTCACCTGAAGGATTCCACTAATCTTCTCGGCTTCCATCTCAGAACATAAAACACCTGCAATTGTTATCTTTTACAGGATTTTATGTACAGGTATTTGAAGACTCAGCTTACCTTCCTTGGAAGTACTTCTGTATTGCCTCGCTTTATCTTTTATTTTTTTTATTTCTTCCCTCAAGTTATTCTAAAACTGTCCTAAGCAAAGAGTGGGAATATTATTGTCACTGTTGTTGCTATTGCTTGTGTGTCTGTCCATATGTCTAACTAGCAGCCCTCATTTATGTACAGGGCTGAGAACCATCCCACAAGGATCAATATTTTAATGTGACTTATCAGAGCGGTTTGTTTATTTAAAAGTCCTGGATCCCATAAAGGCCAGGCAGAGCTGAGTTTTTCGAAACAGACACTTTGAACTCCTGCCGTAATACTGTAAATGTACAGCCACCTATATGAGAGACAGACGACACTCACTTGTTTTTGGAGAGAAAATGCGTTAAGGCCATAAACCTTTAACAGTGGATGAAAATCATAGGATCGTACAGCGTTATGTGGAATGGTGAGTGATTTCAATGGGTTTGTTTCCTTCAAAAGGACTTGCAGGCTAAACAATTTGCTCTCCTCTGTTAGTGAAGAGTAGCAAAATAATATTGAGATATTTATCGAATTGTCCTATATGGTTTTATAGGGTTGCTTATTGTCCTGATACTAATTGCTTTAGGGGGTTACACAAACAAGCAGTAGAGGAAGGAAGGAAGGAAGGAAGGAAGGAAGGAAGGAAGGAAGGAAGGAAGGAAGGAAGGAAGGAAGGAAGGAAGGAAGGAAGGAAATATTCACAGCCCAATTTCTCAGTGGACCTTTTGTCAATAAAAACGTGATTAAAGAGAGAAACAAAATTAATTCCATAGACCAGATACCAGGGAGGTGGACTCTTGCAAGATCACAAATTTTCCTCTATAGATGAAAAATCTCAGATTGGAATTTCCCATGTATGAAAGAAAAAGGAGGAATTTGTATGAAGTCCCAGCAACTGTTCCCTCCCTTCCTGCTGGCTGCCAATGTTATGGTAGAACTAAACCCTGATTGCCTCATTTCTCGCTATAGAAAAAACAAACAGTTGTGCTATTAACAAGCAATTTAACTGATTAGTCATTGTCAGAATTAAAGGGATGATTATAATAGGCATATTTTGATATTTTCATTGCAGGCTACAGTATAAATGATAACAAGAAGCTTTTTCATATATTTCTTTCTGTGCAGTCCAAAGATAGCAATGTATTTCATTGGTATTTTGTCTCCAATGGATTGAGCAGAAAATTTTATTCTGCATTCACATCATTCTTTCAACCAAAATTCCACCAGAGGGAAATCAAGAACCTGATGAAAAGATTCTTTTGATGTCCAGAAATGACCAGCAATAATTTGCAGACTTCTACTCTAAACTTATATATAACCCTTTCTTTCTCCAGCTGCACATCTTGCAACCACACAATTCTGAAATAACGATAAATCAACAAAACATGTTTTTAATCCTTCATTTATTGCTTGCTTTCCTTTGAATAACCGATTTCCACACTAGGGGAAAGAATTGAGAAAATCTCATATTTTTTTTTTAAAAAAAGCTTAGTTTCATTGCTGGTTCGGCCTTCTGCCCCCTCCTTCCCAAACATTTTAATATTTTCATTGAGATAATTTACTATGATATAGCAGCAACAAGGTGTAGTTTCATTTAGTTCATTTTATCAATTTAACAGAGGAACAAATAATATATTTTCTCACTGCACTATGGCTGATTAATGTACATTCTTCCTATTTTCCATAATCCAAGATATCTGGGGACAGCAGGCTCCAGCAAATGGATCTAATCCCTGCTGATCCCTAAAGTGGATTCTGTAATTCTTGTCCTTAATTTGTACCTTTCTTTAGACCTCTATTTAATATCTCTGTGCATCCACTTTGTCGCTTATTGATAGACATTTAATTGGTTCTTTTTTTTCTTAAAATCTCAAAAAAGAATTAAACGGCTAACAGAAAATACTTCTTCAATAAGTGACAAAGTGGATACACAGCGATATTAAATAGAGCCGATACATTTCACTTTAGCTATCCTCTATCTAAATTTGCTTGTCCAGCCTTTTCTACTTTCATATTTCACAGGTTCTGTTTATGTATTTTTAGAACACAATGGCTTCTGAGATGGCATCACACTACAAATGATAACATCGGCCATTCTTGGAGAATCTGCAGGATAGTTTATTAGCTATTATTCAGCTGGACTTCTCCCACACATTTTCTAATGAAACATTTTTGAGGTCCCACTTTAATCTTCTGTCTTAAGACCTCTGGGAAATTTAAGAGGTACCCAATTTTGGGAATAGTTCTTGTGAACATAAAATGAGTAATTCTGTTTATCTCTTGCATTCATCTCATAAGAACATAAGGAAAGTGCTATGAGATCTGGCAAATGGCCAATCCACAGTGCCAGACAATGGCCAACCAGATGTGTCCAGGGGAGACATCTTCCAATATTTGAGGGGCTGCAACAGAGAGGAAGAGGTCACGCTATTTTCTAAAGCAGCAGCAGTAGGCCAGACAAGGAATAATGGATGGAAACTAAACAAGGAGAGATTCAACCTGGAAATAAGGAGAAATTTTCTGACAGTGAGAACAATCAACCAGTTGAACAGCTTGCTCTTGGAAGTTGTGGGAGCCCCATCACTTGAGACTTTCAAGAAGAGATTGGACTCCCATCTGTCAGAAATGGTGTAGGGTCTCTCATTGGGTGGGAGTTGGACTAAATGACCTACAAGGTATCTTGCAACTCTGATTATCTGTTATCTATTATCAGCCTTATTTTGAAAATGCCATAAATAAACAGCATCACTTCCTCTGGTAACAGGTTAGGTCTATGACGTTTTTCCCCGTTATTCCTGTGCTTCATCTTATTCAGACGGCCAAGCTAGAACCTCTACATGTGCTCACATACAAGCACACACATACATGATTCAAGTGCACAGATCTTTGTGTTTGGCTTCTCCTTGACTCCAAAAGAACTACAGACATTGTGCCAGTTCAGAGAAATGTAACAAATGACCCAGGTGGAAAAGATTCATATAGTGCTGAACCTGGATTTGGTGACTGCCTATATAAAAGTCAGCTTAACACCCATACTCTCAAAAGCTAAACTATACTTGCTATGACTTTCTACCAGCTCATACGGTCCTTTTTATGGTCTAGGATCCTAAAGGAGAAAAAGGAGACTTAATTTCTTTCTAAATAATTATTGAGACTTGGGCTATCTGCAGCAATAACTGCCTAATTCTAACTTGTCTGTTCCAAAGAGAACTTCCTTTCCCAAACTTACTTATCTACCTCTTTTTTATGTGAAGAAACTAGACGTGTGCATTGGGCAACATGTCTAAAAACCAGGCAGATTTTTATCACGTGGTTGATTTTTATCACATCTTGGCTTTTTTTGACCCTGAGGCTCCATGGACACTCCTGCTTGTGTACACAGTGTACCCTACTTTCCACAGGTGGGTTATAAAAGATCTGCTGCCTAGCTCAGCACTACTCATATCTTTCAAGGATGATGATTTACTACTTATCCTCCTTGCTGACTAGACTGGCTGGTAAGATAGATTATCTTTTCTTGTACGGGAGGTGAATGGGTGGGTTTTAGGATATGGTGGGAATGCTGATTGGTTGATCTCCTACCTAACACATCTCCATTCAATGTAATAATGAGTGATCAAAATTGCAGAGGCCACATGAACACCATTTTCCCAGAAAGGGGAAAGAATAATGAAGTTTATATAATACATGGTTTGGTGTTGAATGAAGCTGTTGCTTTTCCACAACATGAAACATTGACACAAGCCTATTTAGAACACAAAACTGGATAAGTCCTGTGTCATGTGATTGAGGGGGGACTGTAGTAATGCTGTAAATTGGAAATGAGAAAAAGAGCCTCATTCCTTATTTTTGTAAATACATTTTGGCCATTGGGAATAAGTAAGAAAGAGGCTCCAAGTACTGTCAGTCCAAAGGCACTGAACAGGTTTTCCATCAGATCCTCCTTTTAGATTAGATTAACAGAGTTAGAAGGGACTTTGTAGGCAATCTAGTCCAACTCCCCTCCCACCCAAGCAGGAGACCCTACACCATTTCTGACAGATGGCAGTCCAGTCTGTTCTTGAAAGCCTCCAGTGATGACTCTCTCACAACTTCCAAGGGCAAGCTGTTCAACTGGTTGATTGTTATCACTGTCAGAAAATTTCTTCTTATTTCTAGGTTGAATCTCTCCAGTTTCCATCCATTATTCCTTGTCTGGCCTTCAGGTGCCTTGGAAAATAGCTTGACCCCTTCCTCTCTGTGGCATCCCCTCAAATATTGGAACACTGCTATCATGTCTCCCCTGGTCGTTCTCTTCCCGAGACTAGCCATGCCTAATTCCTGTAACCGTTTTTCATAGGTTTTAGTCTCCAGTCCCCTAATCATCCTGGTTGCTCTTCTCTGCACCTTTTTCTAGAGTCTCAACATCTTTTTTATAATGTGATGACCAAAACTGGATGCAGTATTCTAGGCTGGTCTTATTAAGGCTTTATAGAATGATTCTTACTAGAAAGAAAAGTGCTGAGAAAAAAAAATGGGAGAAAAATTGGAAAATCTTGAATACGGCTGGAGGATTGCACCTTCTTAACTGGAAGCTGATTCTGACTGAAAACTGATTTTTTTCCCCTGTTAATTAATTAGTACAGCCCCCTTGGATGCTATGTTCTTTAAATGCTTTGCGCATAAATTCCAGGAAGCAAGGATCTTGTTGATTGGGAATTATGGAGATTGACCGAACTCAACGGAAGTTACTAAGTAGGGGAGGTAGAGAAGGCTGGATTGATACACCTTGCTTTCCCATTTTTGACTCCAGGTTTTAAATGCCAGCCAGGGGCTAAAAAAAAAAAAAAAAAGCCAGGAACGTGACTAGTTCTTCACCAGAACACACACACAAAACACCTGGCTGAACATTACACCAGATTTTTCACTGAATCTAACATTACACGTTAGTGGTGGCTCTTCAAGTTGTTTGCAACTCATTTCTTTTTACCTGGATATCCTGGGAATTTAATCTGGTACCTTCAGCATTCAGAGTAAATGTTCTTCTTTTTACTGAGTTTTGTCAGTAATTTCACTATAAGTTATTGCTAAGTTTGCAGACAAAAGCTCGTATGCATACATGCAAACTAATGGTTGTTTGGGGTGAAACATTATTAGGGCATTCTCCTCTGAGTCAGTTGAATGTCTTTATTAATTCAGTCTTTGATTCTCAACCAAACTATCTTCAATTATCTTGATTTTTCTTTCAGAAGCATTCAATCAAACGTGGCAGGCAGGGAGAAGAAAGACTTTCCACTTTATTGAAAGCCAAGCTTTCAACAATAGCGAGATAACATTACCTTTCAGTTCCCTGATAAATTCCCTATTTTATTTCTCAAAAGATTAACAAAACATCTCCTGGGTTTTCTTCCTGAAGAAAAGGATAAAAAGTGGACCTTTACTAAAAGGAAATGCCGATTCCTAGTGAAAACTAATTATTTTCGAAATGGCCTCTCCTCACAATAGCGCTTTAATCAGCCTGGTTAAAGACTGTTCTATATTTTATTTTATTTTCCAAAGGACTATTGAAATTCGAATGAAAAGCAAAATAAGTGTTGCAGATGGAAAAAGCAAAAAGAAAACTGCTCCATCTTCAAGTGGGATTTTTTAAAAAGAAAGTAAAAGTAAAAAGGATACTAAAGATTTTATCTTCAGTTTTTTAAAAAACCCTTTCTTCTTCTGTTTGCAGAGCATGTGGGTCAAGAGAATTGAGGATTACCCATTCAAAGCAAAAATCCTGGAAGTTTCCTTAAATGCACCTTCGCTTTTATTGATTATATATGCTTACTGGGTTGATATTAAGGTCGGAGACTAAACAAAACTCCAAAACAATAATGAAAGAGAGAAAGAAGGTAATGCTCATTAATTAAGTTGTGTGTGTGTGTGTGTGTGTGTGTGTCTTTGAGTTCAGTATTTTCACAAGTGGCTTCACAATGCCTGCTTTCTAGGGCTAAGAGAGCACCTGGCCCAAGTTCACCAACTGATTTCTCGTTCCTACCCAAAGTGGGACTAGAATTCACAGACTCCTAGTTTCTACTCCAGTGCCATAGCCATTACACCAAACTGGTTCTCTAGGTAGTAAATATATACCTTTAAACTTATACTGTAATTCTGTTTCCAAAAGCTATACTCCCTGGTATTACACTTCTCTTCAAACCCAAAATAGTAGTTAGACTGGACGTTGTTACTCTTGTTTCTCAACCTTGACAATATTAAGAGGTGTGAACTTCAACTCCCAGAATCCCCCAGCCAGCTATGCATGTCTTAAAGTTCCAAAGATTGAGAGATAGTTGTTCAAGCATCATCCAATCATCATTAGGTTGCTATATAATAACTCGGTGATGGCTAGCGATTGGGAAGGAAAAAATAACTATTTTTATAAGAGACTTAAAAGTCTTTATAGACTGTTATTTTGCTGAAAATGGACACAAATGAATTGGTGCTTTCAGAATGTACTGATTAAAAAAAGTTACTTGTGGGAAGAAGGTATGTAATTTGGGAGGGTGGAAAGGGTAATAACCATTTTTTTGTAACAGCTGCAAAGATCAGAAGTCACTTCTTTATTTTTCTTTGTCTTTTTTTCCCCCTTTCTTTGACTTTGACTTTTCCATTTTTCCCTTTTTATTCTTTTTCTAATTTCCAATTATCTCTTGATGTTACCACTAAAAGCTATAGTATAAAAATCTCTGTCAATAAAAATTGAATGCCCCTAGGAGATCCAGTTTTAGTAATAGCCAAGATTCTACTTCTCTGACTTCTTAAATGTAGTTGAATCTGATTATAGGCACTCCTGCTGAAACACTATTAAGCCACCTCTATTTCATGAGATTTCCCTTTTGTTCTGCAGTAGAGTCATTTCTGCACCAGCAATTTACAGAGATTTTTTAGTGCTATTGTTATAACAAAATAATGCTGGGATGATGCTAGGAACATACTACAGGTAGTCCTTAACTTACCACTGCAGTTCAAGCCAAAATTTCCATTGTTAAACAAGACAGTTGTTAAAGTGAATTGCACCCCATTTAATGAGTATACGCTTATACTTATTATCTTGTAAACAATTGACAAATCAAATAAATAAAAATAAATAAATAAAATAAATGAGCCTGCAATATAATCCATGTGACTCTGAAGGACTGCATTAATTTAAATTAGTTGAGTTCACTCTTACCCTCTCCTTGTCTATCCTAAATTGTAGTTCCACCATGGCCGACTCCATTTTTCTTCCAAGAAATGAAAGTCTCAGAAGTTCTCACCATTGCCAGTTTCTCCTCCCAGGGCTACTCTGATACAGATAATCAGAGTTGGAAGGGACCTTGTAGGTCATCTAGTCCAACCCCCCACCCAAGTGGGAGACCCTACACCATTTCTGACAAATGGAAGTCCAAACTCTTTTTGAAAGTCTCAACTGATGACGCTCCCACAACTTCCGAGGGCAATTTCTGTTCCATTGGTTGATTATTCTCACTGCCAGAAAGTTCCTCCTTATTTCCAGGTTGAATCTCTCCTTGATCAGTTTCCATCCATTATTCCTTGTCTGGCCTTTGGGTGCTTTAGAAAATAGCTTGACCCCTTCCTCTCTGTGGCAGCCCCTCAAATATTGGAACACTGCTATCATGTCTCCCCTGGTCCTTCTCTTTACTAGACTAGCCAAGCCTAGTTCCTGCAACCGTTTGTTGTATGTTTTAGCCTCCAGTCCCCTAATCATCCTGGTTGCTCTTCTCTGTACTTCTCTGTATCTTTTTTATAATGTGGTGACCGAAACTGGAGGCAGTACTCTAGGTGTGGTCTTACTAAGTCTTTATAGAGTGATATTAGTACTTCCCTTGATCTTGACTGTATCCCTCTGTTAATACAACTTAGGATTGCATTAGCTTTTTTGGCTGCTGCTGCATTCTGCTGGCTCATATTTAGCTGGTTGTCCACTAAGACTCCAAGTTCCCTCTCACAGTTATTGCTATTGAGCCTGATTTCACCCAGTCTATATGTGTACTTTTGGTTTTTCTTGCCTAAGTGTAGGACTTTACTTTTCTCTATATTGAATTTCATTTTATTAGATATGCCCAGTGTTCTAGTCTGTCAAGATCCATCTGGATCTTGAGCCTATCTTCTTGGGTGTTAGCTATTCCTACCAGCTTAGTATCATCTGCAAATTTGGTAAGTTCCCCTTCTATTCCCTCATCTAAGTCGTTAATGAAGATATTGAAGAGTACTGGGCCTAAGACGGAACCTTGTGGCACCCCACTGCTTACTTCCCACCATGTAGACTTAGACCCATTAAGGACTACTCATTGAATACGGTTTGCCAGCCAGTTGCGAATCCATCTAGTGGTATATGCAATCACTTTGGTTCCCCTTTTGTTTCTAACATAGCCAAAGAACTCGTTTGTAGTTTTTCTAGGTACCTCTTGCAAGCTTCAAATCATTCAGAATACTTGGCCTTCTATCATTGTCCTTACTGTTTCTGGAGTCTGCCTCAAATTCCTCTTTGGTTATGTTTTTGTCCTTCCATTTCTTATATGTGTCCCTTTTCCACAACAACATTTAGGGAGTTCTCCATGTATCAATAAATTTCTTCCATTTTTTCCCTTTTTGTTGGAATTATTTATAATAGCCTCCTCAACATCGCATTTCACGGGACCTCGGATTTCTCCTTCAAGATTTAAAGACCTTGCCTAGACTTCTTTTCCATCAGGGTTCTTCAAAATCTCTTGTTCTGAGGTCTAGCATGTAGCTCCAAAATTTCTTAGAATATAGTGAGTTTTAAGTTGCTATGTTCTAGTGATTTAATGAGTAAGTTGAAAAGTGCAATAGAAAAGTTGACAAAGAAAGTTGACTAAGCAGAAATTTTGACAAGCATACCATAATTTTTTTCTTCAACAGCTACAAAGTGACTTTGATCAGAACAGACACAGAAGCCCATTCAGTACCAGGCAAATCTTAAGTCATTGAAGAGTTTGTTTGTTTATTTGTTTGTTTGTTAAATGTATTTGCTGCCTATCTTGCTGTGGGTCTATTCTAGGTGGCTTTACAACAATAAAAAGGAAGAAATGAAAAGAGTGTAAACAAAAACAGAAGTAAAATAATTTACCAACATTGCCACTGATGTTAAGTTTATAATTTATTCCAAACCACTCTCTTTTAAAAATTGGTGTTGTTTCTGTTGATAATATTTTTCCCCACTTGTCTTTATTCCATTTTTGATCATTGGCCCTTTTTCTTTTCATTACAGGTCCTTTTGACTGTTATGAATATTTCATTCCTCTGAGATTTCTCTCCTGCTGGAGCTTTGGAGTGTGACAATGGTGTTTGTATTCAATCTGTCAAACGCCATTATCACACTAAATAGCTACTGTTAGATAAATCATCAGGTGCAGGAAAAAAGGAGGAGGAGGAGGAGGTGTTGATGGTAACAGAGGAAGATAAGAATATTTGAGAAATGCATTATCTGAGAGAATACCACAATAGCATGTCAAGACAACTCTGCTTTTCATTGCCAAAATGTCAAGGGATAAATACATACCACTGTCTCTCTTTTTCTTCCCTCCCTCTCCAATCCAAATGACATTATTAAGTATTTATTCCATTTATTAATAAGTTAATAGTTATGGTCATTTTAGCCTGAAGCAGTACCTCTATTGTTGCATTTATCTTAGATAAATAAGCAGGATCATGGAAGCATAATTCTTTTGGGGACTCAACTGCAAGCAGCTCAGCTGTGAATACATTAATCATTTCGCCAAATGTTAAAGAAAATAGCAGCCAACTTCTCACATTGTCTGAAATTAGGCAGAAAAGTAGCCAAGATCTATTGCCATAACTGCAAAATAAACATTCCATAATCTTGTGGCCTATTTCTTTGAAATAAAATTTGGGCTGCAAATACAATCAACTGGGCATGTTAATATTCAATCTCTAATTAAATCACTGTTGACTGTACTGTTCCAATCTGATTTGGAAATTTCATCAAAAGCATCACTGACATCACCACCTCATATAAAGGCAAAATGTTTACTAAATCTCTAACAATAGATCACTGTACTTTTTTATCAGTTGGTTGCACTCTATGTAATCAAGTTTACTCTATGTAATCAAGTTTATGTATGTATTTACTAGGTTTTTATGCTGGTATAATCATAGCTGTCTCTGAACAATGCTATCAAAACCAGTTTTTCTATTAATCTATTCTTCTGCTCAAGGGGGAACCCAGTTCTGGCTTACCAATTCATTTGGTATAATAAAAGTGTTTATAAATATGTGTGTTCCATATTTACAGCTTCTACTTTTAAAGAAGTTCTTCAAGCGTCTTAGGCTTGCATTTAAAAATCTATTGTGTAACCCGAACTTCAGATATATATCCATTCATTCATTCCAAAATACCTCTCAAGTCTTTCAATTACCCTGCTCAAATATATCATCCTGTACTTTATAGCAAGAACCATTTGGTAACCACAGGTACATGACAGAAACCATTTTAATGCAAAGGATCGTGATATAGACAACTAACAAGCATCTAGACAATTATATGCAAGTTCTCTGTTGGAAGAAGAATCTTTCATTTCTATCTGAGCAAATAATTAAAACATCTCTGTGAATCAGCAAGGGTTTTTTGTCTCTTCCTGCCTCTCTGATCTAGGTTAAACCTCTGGATTTCTAAAAAGAATCATATTAGGAGATTACTCATTACCTAGTTCCTCAGGACCAGGAAATATCTTCCCAAACTTCTTAATCATTAAAAAACAACAGTGAAAACAGTAAAAAATGCAGAAAATCCTGGTGCTCCTCAATATAACAATCACTGCATATCCACAACTATATTGGGTTCAGCCACATGCTACCCAACTCCTGGAGGAAAAGCCAAGTCTTCTTGACTTTTTGGAAAGCTAAAAGATTAGGAACTGGCTGGATCTCAGGGAAGAGCAAGGCCAGTTACTGAGAAGATTTTGAATCAACCTTTCTGAGTTGTCTCAAAGATGCTTTTATTTAAAAAGCAATTGGATTTTCCAGTTTTTCTTTGAAGACCTTTCACTTGTCATCCAAGAAGCTTCTTCAACCTCAAATCTTTGGGACAACCATGATCTGCATGACTGAGAATCTCCATAGACAACTATTCTGAGATCAATACATCTTTGGGCTATTCCACAAAATGGCTGCTTTGAGAGCTCATCCAACCATTCATAAAATGGCTGCCATGGAATCAGCATGCTTATCTGCCTTCTGTCTCCAGTCCCTTTTCCATCCTATAGGATGCTCCCTATCTAAAGGATCTAGCTAAATATCCTTTAAATAAAGGATTAATAGAAGGATAAAGAATATCTAGCCAGATTCTTCTGAAGTAGATAGAAGTAGATTCTATAGAATATATTGGGTTGGAGCTGCCAATCCTTTATTTTTATTTTATTTTTTAAAAGAAAGCTCAGGGGGTTTATGTGGGAGGAGAGATTGGAGATTTGAATTCAATATAAGCCCTTGTTAGAGGATAAGTGTAAGCAGACTACCCAAAGCTCTCTGAGCAATTAAATAGCAGAACATCCCATTAAAAAGAAACTCTGCTTAAGTTTGAGGTTTTAGGATTTAGTTAGTTATCAATGAATGAATGAATGCTAATTTTATAATGCTAATATAATAAAAGATTGTGAAGTTTTTGCTATAAAAGCTGAAGAGGACAAAAGAGCCTTACTTATAATTGAACTATACATTATCTTGGAGAGAGGTAAGTAAAAGGGAAGAATAGAATAGAATAGAATAGAATAGAATAGAATAGAATAGAATAG